ATATGATAAAATTGTTGTCAATCATTATTTTCAAGTATAATCGATATACGATATATTAAATATCATTTAACTAATTGGTTAAAGTTGTATATAACTATAATTTCGATACAATACTTATAATCAAACCTATTTTTGTATTATGATAATTATTTTACAGATCGTTACAATGATAAATAACAAAATATAGTATTGGTAAATGTTGTGAGATTTTCAATACATAATTAAATTAGAGTTGCTTAATTAAATTTAATATACATAACAATACAATTATTACATGTAAATATGAATAATTAAATATACAATTATTATATGTAAATATGAATAATTAAATATACAATTATTACATATAAATATGAATAATTAAATATAAAATTCACAAATTGTAAATTATTTTATTGCTGGTAAGATGTCCAATAATTCTCCCAGTTGTCAAAGCCAAGAAAGTACAAAAAGCAATTCAAAAAATTCTATCGAACAAAATGTAAATTTGGATACTTTACAAAAGTCTGCATCGAATGTATTTCACATACATTGTACCTCTATACAAGAATTTAGCGAAGGTGGTTTTCATAAAGTGTACATCTTAAAGATGGAAGATGGTAAAGAATATATTGGAAGAGTAGCATTCCCTGTATATTCACAATAGATAACAGAAAGTGAAGTAGCTGTTATGGAGTATATTTGATTACATTCGAACATCCCTGTTCTCAAAGTTTATTATTGGAACAGTTCTGTCAATAATCCGGTGGAGCAAAATATATTTTAATAGAATATTTACCTGGCATTCGTCTTTGCGATATCTGGAGTGACCTCAGCATGGAAAAAAAAAATGTTTCTATTAAAAATTATTGACATTTAATTGGAACTTAAAAAACTTTCATTTTCAAAAATTGGTAGTATTTTTTTTGATGGTAAAAATGATCAATTTAAAATTGGTCAGGTGATTGAAAGTGACTTTTTTACTGGTAAATGAGCAACTTTATCAACCATGGAAAGAGGTCAATATATTTCAGCTGTTATTCGAAATCAGATCCTTTATCATTATATCTTTAAATCTATAGAACAACAAAAATACTAGATTCCAAAATATGAAGAATTATATAAATTAGTTCCTAAATATTTTCCAAATGAAAGCAAAACCACATTTGTATTGATGCATGGAGACTTTCACTCATCAAATATTTTAGTCAATGATGACGAAATCCTAGAGGTTATTGATTGAGAATGTTCTGGTATATTTCCAATAAAATGCTTATGTACTTTTCTAGTTTGGATAATTAACAATCAAATAATAGAACAAACTAGCGAGAAGTCTGAGGAAAATGTAATACTACAGAAATTTTTTCGTGATGAAATATCTCGTCGTAATCCTGATTTTATTCGCATATTTGACAATATAAATTTAGATGAGGAAAAAAAAGAATTTTATTTCACAGTATTTAGTCAAGAAGTATAGAAAATAGAAGATTTTTTTAATAAATTTGGAAATAGAATTTTTAAAGAATTATTTTAATCCAAATTATAGTACTAGCAGTTGAAATAATGTGAATATTGATAAGTATTAAATTTGGTTTTTATTGTTTAAACAATAGAACAGAAGTTGAATCTCATAATATTGAATACTCTAATTGGTCGGTTATAAGTTTTTAAAAGAATTTTGTTAATTCAGAACTAGGGTACGAATTTCATTATTGACATCTTGTACCTTTTTTTTCAGATAATTGAATATTAATATATAGTAACCAATTTTTTAACTTAAAAAAGTTATTGTAATTAAAACATGCTTATAGCAATAATTCAATTATAAATTTAATGGATATAAAATCTAATAAAAATCACAATTTGTCAATTAAATTGCATTAAGAAAATTTTAAGGATATTATTTTTTTAAAAAAATACTATAACAATTAAATATAAGAACATTTATTCTAAAAATATGTTTAATAAAAAAATAACTCAAAACTTTA